TGCAGAAATTAATACTGTTGTATTTAGCAACGTTATTGATGTAACATCACAGTGCTACTAAAATCAAGCACATTTTGGCCCAGCTGAGGACCTACCTCCCCAAAACCCTACTGTCAAGCCTGACTGTGAAAGTGAAGCAAAATAGCATGTTAGCTAATCAAAATAATACACATCTTGCTACAATTGCAAAAAAATCTATGGGCCACTGCAAAGTTAGATGCTTTACAGAAAAGCCATATTTAAGATGTGGCTTTTGTTCCAGACATCTAGAAATTCAGTTATGCTTTTATTCTCCTGCTTTAGAATTATATTCACTCTGCCATTTGAGTCTAGGAATTTGGAGAGTACTGCACCCTGCACAGACTGTATCTTTGTGTACAGTGCTCAGAAGCTGCATTACTCTGGGGCACAGGAGTGCCTCAGGGGGCACAGTTTCTTTGTCATATCCCTGAGGCAGAGATGGCTGATGCCACACTTCTACATTTTACACCTTGCCAGAAGCCCTTGCCCTAATTGCTTCTTAGAGCCCACAAAACAACTCCCTGACCCCCCTTTTTTGTTGTTGTTGTTCAATACAGTTTGGCAGCTGGATTTAAACAGTTCAGAAAATAAACTAGTCTGACTTCAGTCCTCTTGAACCCCACAGGTTTTTCTCAAATGAATCTTCCACTTTATCAGCTACATAGATTCTATTTAATATAATTAAAATGTTGAAGTGATGAATCTTCTCACTGAGAGCAAATTATGGCTGAATACATGAAATGGGTACTCAGCAGGAAAGGTGCACAGGTACCAACAAGCGAGGGAGCAAGAAACTGGAGAACTCCGATACACACAAGACAGGGAAAATTAAAAAATGGATAGGAAGCAATGAGCAATAAGCATCTTGGGCCACTACGTCTTTTAATCTTGTGTCTCCCTTTCTGTCTGTGTTAGCTGACTTCTGTGGCATGACTTGGTAGGCATCTAAGGAAACGAACTACACACTGTTTTGGCATGCATAGCACAATAATCAACGGCATAAAATCAACTCAGTATCAAGCTGGGATCACCGAATTATGATGGCAGGAGAAATTAAATAACATTAATAAGAAGGTGGATATGGAATTCTTTCCGTCTGGGACATGCCTCTTTTGTTAGTTGACAATGGTCTGCATGGTTTGGCTTACTAACAGACAAGGCTAACACCTGATTAGAAAGCTGAAGGGAAAAAAGAATCATTTTCTATTCTGCACCAACCCAGCTGAGAAAATTTGAAACTAATTAAAGAACAGTAAAATGTTAATGAATCTGTGTCCCAGTCACCATTCATGTAACTGAAGGTTCCTCTACCTATATCACAGACAGCACTTTTGCTCATATTTCAACACGAGATCACATAAGTAGCAATGTGCAAGGGAGAAAGAATCAGAGATAAAAAAAGATTTTTCAAGCTCCCCTCTTCAGCTCCCAGAAACCAAAATAATCTTCCTCTACAGCAGTACTCCTATTGGCTATGCTGCTACCTGTACATACACCATGGTAAGACTTTATTCACAATGATTTTTCATTATTTTATTGACATTTGATATAGACCAGACTGCACTCTGCATTAACTAAGGGAGCCTGATTCTTTGAGGTCCATAAACTCCCATTTCCCACTGGGCCTGTGAAAGAGGTTGATGCACAAAGCCACTGAAGATAGGTCCCTTGCAATACTTGGAACTTGCTTTCCCGCAGCCTCCATTCTCTGCTATATTGGGAAAGAGCCAGGAGAAATACCAGCACTTCAGTCCCAACTCAGTTTTGTACTCTGTGGTTTGAATCCCAGCTTTTATGAAAAAACTATAGAATTTGAATTATGGTATAGCAAAGAAAGTGTGGAACAATTAGTTATGTTTAAAGAATTACAAACTCTTTCCTGGGATTTTTTTTTTTTTCATGAAAACTTGTATTTTTTCTACACTAAACTGTTAATGAACTTCCAAACTACTAAACAGAAACAAAGAAACAAACAAAAACTGTGTACATATTGAACAGCAAACTCTTTTTCCATTACATGAGTCAACTAAGAATTTTTGTTATTTTCAAAATACGCATATTTATTTCATGAATGTAAAAATAAAAATGTTCTTTAATATATCTGAATCTCTGATTAAAAAAAAAAAAAAAGGAAGAAAACAGGCAACAGATTTCCATAAAATACCAATATCGTAAAAACACAATTGCCTATTGAGGCAATCACCTACTAGTGAGTTAAAACTACAGATTAGTAAATTGCATAATGCCCCCCTTGGAGTACTCAACAGTTCAGATGTTTCTCTGAGTCTTATTTAAGCCTCTTCAATCTCAGCAAATACATAATTTCAAATAGTAGCTGTACTATGTTAAATGCCATAGAAAGGGAAATGCCAAAATGGACTAAAAAATCATAGACTTCCCAATAAAAACATTATTTTTGGTAGACATTATTTTGCTAAATTCAACCTAAACATGATAATCATTTTGCTCAACCCCCAATTGCATTTTTTGCTGAATACATTAATTATCCCTCCAATTTCTCTCACCTTTTCTTACATGTCTTGCCTCTCTTGTTTTCCTTTAATAGATAATCTTTCTCCCATATTTAAAAATATAACCTTTCTTAACATCATGCTTTTATGTAAAACCTCCCTTGGAGATGCTGCTACATTTGATAGGCTTTGAAACTCTGTGCATGAAAGACAGGATGTGATAACTCTATGATACCTGAAGATGCTTCAATGGGCACTCAATAGGTAGTCCATTACTCTTACCACACAGATATGATTGTTACAGAGAGACGGAACAATGTACTGTATATACAAGAAAGAGTAGTGCAGTCAAATCAAGCAGAACAAAAAGAAAAAAAAAAAAAAAACAAAATCAAAAACTTGAGAAGATCACTCTTTTCTTTTGTTTCCTACGAAATTCATGGGAAAAAATGTGTGAACACTGAACTTTCCCACTCCAGCCTTTTCTGGGCTCTTCCTATAAGCCGGAGAAGCAGAGAAGGCGTCAATTTTACTCTGCCAGAATGCTCACTATTGCAGTCAGAAGATGTAAATCTCGTGGAGCAGTCCTGACTAATGGTTGTCTGCATAATCTACAGAAGCAGCTTCATTGGTCATTTTAAGAGCATGATTCTTCACAGATTTAAATGGGAAGTTACTTGGGCTTCAGGGAAGTAGAATCTAGCTCAGAAATCTCACAGTGTAATACATTACAAAAATATTATTAATTTCAGTTAAATTAAATGAAAAACATACATTTTACTATTTTATGATGACAAGCATTTCCCAAAATGTCAATAAATGTTAAAAAGAAATGACCTGGTTGGTTTGTTCAACCATATGAGGGAATTTCAATTTGCTATTTATTTTAAGTAAAAATGTATCTGCAAAATCATAAAAATACAGATTCTGTTTCTCTTATTTTCTTATAAAAAAGGGAGAATGAAGACAAACGTGAAAGAGCTTAAAGCTATGGTATTTGGTTTGAGGATCAGTTGGACTTTTCATTTTGTCTGTAGCACTAATTATAGATTTGATTATTATATAAATATTGTTTTGTGTTAGCTCTATGGTCAGACTTCTAAATTTAGAATTCTTTTTTTTTTTTTTTTCATGATGTAGTTTCAATAATAAACATTATGATCATCCTAGGTGTATGTTACAGCATTAAAATGCTTCCTTTTTAGGCACTCGGTGGAATCGCGGCTACTGCTCAGATATGGCTTAGTTAGTCTGCCTGTAAAAATGAAGATTTATTTTTATGTGGCTTGAACTAAAACACCGGAGTTTTAATGTGTGCTCACTCTTAACTATTAAAATTGTGTGCAATGGCAGTTTAAATGTTTTATTTTCAAATAAACAAGCAAATGGACTGTTATTTCTATAAATACTAATAGAATCATGCTCAAGCACTGGGAGTTTTCAGCCTGGAGCAAGAGAAAACCACACATTTTCTGTTTATTTTTTGTGGGTTTTACTATTTTAAGTAACATCAAGGCCTGAACTGGAGATATTCTGACGTTTCTGGTTACTTTGAAGAAAAAAAGTCCCAGTAGTTTCTTAGCAAGTTAGGTCAGTTTATGCTAAGTCACTGAGTGACAAAAAGTATTCTCCATGACGACAATATATGCAATGTCCTTCTGGACAAGGGAAAATAGTTGATGGAGTCAACAAGCATGTTGCAAGCATGTATGCAAAACTGCAAGCATGTATGCAAAACTACTTACAGTCCTGCAAGCATGTATGCAAAACTACTTACGTGCACAGTACCATCAAGTGTCATTCTGCAGGGGTATTTGAGAACTGTCCCTGTCTCCTTAACTGAGAACAGATGCTGACAGTGGTATCAGATGCTCTTTGCTGTTCTCCCTCCCTGTATCCTCAAGCATGAAGGATAAAATGCCAAGGTTCTTATGATGTCTTTGAAACAGTAAAAGCTGAGCATTAGCTGCAAGGTTTAGATCTAATAAATGTTGCTTTGGCTTTCCTTTATAACTAACTCCTTTCAATGTTTTGAAGGAGCAGAAATGGACAATTATTTGGTTGTGTTGTGGAGCTTTTGCTCAGCCTCATTTGGTGATAAACAATTATCTGCAGGTGACAAAGTATTGGCTGAGTTTTTAAATTAAATTTTGAATAGACAAATTCAGACAGCATTACATGACTGATTTTTTACAAGGGTATCAGACTATCCTTTGAAACTGTATGTTTTTGCAGCCCAGAGTTGTTCCTCTAAATCTCTGGTCAGTTGAAAACAGTGCAATCTCATTTCTTTGCAGTAATAAAACCCTCTAATAAATAGAGAGAAAAAATGACTGAAATAAGTAAATACAACAAAATTAGAGATGCTGAAAGCTAATGAACTCAATTGCAATCACTTTGGGAGTAATAGCCTTATCTTAAAAGTATTGATTAAATATCCGAATATTTACATCTTGTACTGGAACTGTTGAAGGCAAATGATGCATTGCAAAGCAAACAGAAGCTGACCTTTGCACGTTTTCCCATCAGGCTGCAGCGTAAATCCAACTGGGCAACTGCATCGTACCCCCGTCGCGGTATCCTTGCAAGTCCGATCACAGCCTCCATTATTGACAGCACATGTTTCTGCAGAATGAAAAAAAAAGAGACAGAGAGGAGGGGGGAGAAAGGGAGTGTAATGAAATGTTCTGGGGGGGGGGACAGGCACCAACTCTTTGGGACAATTTTATAACATTATGAAAGCAATCTAAGTTTAAGCAAGACAATTCAATCAAGCTCTCAAGGTCATCAGGGTCCACATACTTGTTTTGACGGGTAAATCATTTCCACAAGTCATGATTTCTTTCTCCCACAAAACTAGTGTTTTTATTTATTATATTTAGTTAGTGCTTTTGAACTGTCTTAGACAATAGGATGGGTTATTACATATGAAACAAGTTTAAAAAGAAAAAAAGCGATTGCCTTTAAAAGCAGAACCAAACAGTCAGTCTGTTTCATATCAGTCAATGTCTAGCCAAGGCTTTTTAAGGTTCATTATTTTAAAACTATGTTGCAGGCATAATGAACTTTAAAAAGCAGTAGAAAGCAAAGCAGAGTGCTAGACTTGGAACCGAGAATATAAAATCCTTAGTTAAGAAAGAGTTAATGGAAAATGAACTACATATATCACTTTGACAAGAATCTACATGCCCAATCTGTTCTTACTGAACTACAAGCAAAAGGCATCTGGGTTTTGTCCACTTAAAGCTTTTTGCAATTTGAAAGGAGTTTGGAGTGGGTGGGAGGGCATAATTGAGGTCACTGAACCCATTCCAAGCTGTGTCATTGAAATTTCCCAGTGCTTGTAGTATGTAGAAGGGTGGCTGGGCAAACACAGGCGAAAGAAAGTTGCAGTGCTTCTTAGCTTTTACAACAGCGGGCAACAACTATTAAGTACCACTACATAAAAAAAATAATCTTCAACTTCATTACAAAAAAAGCAAAAACCCCTTTCTTAATGCTGTTATTTTCTGTTACTTGTGTGTGCACATGCACCCACCTTACACATACATACACATGCATACACACACATCCATAAAACAGATAAAAGGCAAGTGAAATGATTAACTTTGCTTTGATCTAGAGAATAGAGTGGATGCTAGGATGCCAATTTAGCATGTCAGTTTGAACTGTGCATTTATCTGAAAAGTATCTGCTTCAGAGACCAAGTCCTTTTAATAGTATCTTTTTCAGCTGCTCTGGCTTTGATTAAATTAAAATATCCTCCCTGCTCCTCCCAAGATTGCCATTATTCTACTCAGCTCACCTCATTTTGGCTTTCCCTGAAGAGGCTTTGTCATTATTTACTCAGATTTACAGACTCTTATTGCTGAATATTCACAGTCTGTGTCACAACTGTTTTCTGTAGACAGAATCTGAAAATATGCTATAGGATATGCTAATGGAGAATTGCCTTAGAACAGTATGTTGATCAAAAATTATTTACACAGAACAGAAAATGCTTTACTTTTAAACCAACTGGTACTACAGGATTTTTATTTCAAAGTAGCTTCTGCTAATGCCTTCAGTGTGAACTTAGGCTGGTCCTTTGGAAGGACTTCACTGCTTCAAAGTAAGAAAAAAATACATCTGTTTATTTATTGTTTTGAACTGATACAGACCTCTACATCAGTTTTGGAATAAGTTGCTGGCACCTATGAACAAACTGAAAGCAAGTGGTACGGGCACACATGCATTAACAGCATGGGACAAAGCTTTGCTGTCCATATACATTTACCTATGCTGTACTAGATATATCATGTGTGCTACATAATAACATCATATAGAAAAAGCAATAAGTATACGAACGAATTTGCATTAAGCTACTAGCAAGTACAGCTAACAAAAGGATTGACTTTTTTAGTAAAAACTTCCTAAAAATGGAGATGAACCTGCAACTTTTTATTTTCAGGCAGAGTTCTTGCTTACCTGTCTAATCCAACAAAATTAAAAGGTCATTTTGTATGAGTACAGAACATTTATGTAAGACTTGCAGAACACGAACCTAACTGCTTAAATTCTGATTTTCATATACTATCCTGGGAATCTTAGATGCTGATTCTACTCTATGGAATTCCTTGGTAAATTACAATGCTGTCATTCCATTTGTATGTGAATGTGTGTGTCCTCGTACAGCAACATATCAAATTATTTTATGTTTCAGAGAAGGGAAAAGGTTTCAGGTCATTTAATTTAATTTTTATTTTTTTAATTTGGGTACAAGTTAATGATATGATGACTTGACAAAAGTAAGGAGTTAAGATTAAAAAATAGGAAAAAGTGTTGAAGATGTATGTTTGGCATGGCATTGCAAAGAGCAGTAAATCTTATGTTAGCAGATTAACTTTGGCATATGAAGAATCCTTTATTGCAGTTCATCACCAAGATATGAACATAAGCAGTAATATTTCTGCTTTCTGGATGACATCCAGTGAAAATGAATAGACACAACAATTTTTTTTTCCCATGGCACAGATGACTGGATCTATAGGATAAGGGTCATTCAGTGAACAAAAGTTATTTCTATGTATAAATAGAGAGAATCAAGACAGCTTTTCTTATTTTCACAGAGATTTAGTAAAACAAACCAAAAAGGATAAATACCCTTCAACTTTCCTGGTGACTCTGACTTTAATACATGACAAACTCTAACAGAATGAAGACCCAAGTGAGTGAGAGGACATCTGACAGTACCTCTTGCATTATGGATAATCAGGGAGATGTATTGATGAAATTCCTTAAACTTAAGGTCATGAGAAAAAAATGGTAAAAGAAAGCTAATATGAATAGCAGAATGTGGGAAAGAGGTATTAACAAGCTACATCAAATATAATTGCTGAGGCCTATATACAACATAAACTGAAGCATGTCATCACTGGTGTTTCTGTTAATTATTTCAACCCATTCTTCTCACCACTGTCAAACTTTAGTATATATTTGAAATGCAAATAAAATTTTAGGTCTCAAATAAAGAGCAGAAACAAATGACTTATTTCCAAGCTATCATGCTGGAGATGCTATACTTATATGGAAGGGAAAGAACAAATGTTCAAAGTTTGGATCAAGTCTTCATGATCATATTGATCCTACAGGCTATTTTCCACAGTTTTTGTCTTGGTGAAAGGTAATCTCACCTTATTTAATGCTCCTTTTTTTTTTAAAATTCTTTTTCTTTTCAGATTATTTTGGTATGTTTCTGATTTTTTTTTTTTTTTTTTTTTTTTTTTTTTTTTTTTTTGTTCTGATGCAGGAGCAGAAAATCACTGGAAGACAAAGTAGTGTTGGGAAACTGATATTTCAGTTCCTTCTGAATTATGATAAAGCTCATCATTCATAACTAGACTTCACTAGAGCTTAAAATCCTACTTATATCCTCACAGCCCTGCTTATATTCTTATCAAATTCCTACCAGAAAACTCAGACAGAAACTGAGATCTAAAGAAGAGGACATCTACTTATACAAGGCACTGTGGGACAGCTTATATTGTGTTTTTCCACTGTAAGATCCTAATTCTGTAACAGTCTCTCATGTAACTGCTCCCCGGATTGATAAAAAAGAAGTAACCAAAATCATTACCAACATGATTTAAAAAATATCTACATTTTTACTAAATTAAAATGTTTATTGATTCAGCAATAGTTCATTGCACTATGGGATATGTGCTGTTTCTAAGCACCCTATTAAACTAAATATCCTAATAAAAAATACATGCTTGAGCTGTCAAGTCCTTCAGCGCAGGATCAGAAGTGTTTACTAAGTTACGAGGTGAAGTTACAGTATTCAGTCCTTTAATCACTCCAGTGTCTATAAGGATTTAGCAGTGAAAGATGAGTTCTCCAGGTTCTAGTTCTGCATCTTTTTAAACTACAGTGGCCACAGGGACTGGTCACTTCCTTTAAAATAAGCTGACATCATCAGACAAGACTTATTTGGTGTTGAATACTATTAAATGCCTGAAATGCAAAACACATTTATCATGGTTTGGGAACATTTCTACAAAACTAAATTTCATCTTTTTTATGAAATATGTAAAAGATAAACACTCAAAATGTAAGCCTCTATTCAAATCTGTTTTTTTTGGAAATGGTTGATTATTTCATAAAGCCATTCAAAAACTGCCTCCACTTTTTGTAGTTGCATTTTACCTCTACAATCAAAAGAACATAACATGATTTCAAAGACATTACTGAAAATCAGGCAAATCTTAGAATTTTTATTATTTACTTTGGTAGCTTGGGTAAATTTCATCTAAAATCTAAAACAAGTTTTAGGAACTGAGATATGATGCAAACCAAAACAAACTTACATAGGTTTACACGACCAGAAGGGATACATCTGAATATTATAAAGTAATATATGTTTTAGTGAGGTCACTGTCTATAATCTTTGATAGTCATGAGTTAGGTTCCTGATGACAGGAAAAGGCAAACATCAAGAAGGGCAATGGGGAGGCTCTGGGTAACTACAGGCCAATCAGCCTCACATAATAAAATCATGCTGGAAGCCATTTCCAAGAACATGAAAGACCAAATGATTTGAGAACAGCCAGCACTGACTTCCTAAGGGCTAATCGTGCCCGATTATCATGATCACCTTCTAAAATGACATGATCTGCTCTGTCCATAAGGAGATGGCTGTGGATGCTGTTCACCTTAAATTTCGCAAGTGCTTTGGCATTATTTTCCATAGTATCCTTATAACCACAGTGATCAGAATGATTATGCACTGGATAAGTGGATAATATGTCAAGTAGAAAATCAGCTGGATCAGGGCTCAAATGATTGAATCAGTGGTACAAAGTCCATCTGGCAGTGTGTCATGAAAATTAACCCTCAGCTAGTGATATGAGGGCCAATATGTCTGTACTAACAATGTGGACATTGGGATGTAGTGCACTTTCTGAGAATTTGGGGATGGTACAAAATTGGGTGAGTAGGGACTTAAGGCTGCTATTCAGAGGGGCCTTAGCAAGTTGGAAAAATGGACTGAAATGAACATCATGAACTTCAGTGAAGGCAAATGCAAATCCTGCATCTGGGATGGAATAATTCCATACAACAGAAAAAGCTGAGCATTTACTGGCTAG